CACCGCATTGCACCGCTCTGCACTGCACTGCACCGCTCTGCATCGCACTGCACCGCTCTACGCCGCACTGCACTGCACATTCCTGATCTGCACCGCACTGCACAGCACTGCTCCGCTGCTGCATCGCTCCTGATGGCGGACTCCGTGCTCCGCTTCGACACGTGGTTGGTCGACCTCCGCCGTCACCTCACTGGTCAGCGCCAGGATGGCCACTCCCTGGCTGTTCACCTTGACGGTATGCTTCCCTGCCCTGACCCCCCTGCTCCCCTGCCCACTGACCCCTCGTCCGCTAACTGTGAGTCCGCCGCAGCTGCTGCCCTTGCCCGCTCAATCTGGCTGTCGCGTGATACCGTTGCGCAGCTTGCGATCAGTCACGCCCTTCCCATGTCTGAGCGCCCCCGCTTTCGGTCAGTCACGACTGTGCAGGAATTCCTAGATGCCGTTGTCAAGTGCTATTCCACCCCGCCCGCTGCCTCTGTAGGTCGCCTGATCCTACCGATTCTCTTCCCTGATCTTGCATCTTTCCCTACTGCCGTTGACCTGGCCGCTCACCTGCGCACGCTAGATGCGACCTGGCGCTCTCCCTGCACTGAGACCCTGCTTAGAGCCTTTCATCCGCCCCTCTGCTCTACCCTCAACCTGCTTGCCACCCGCCTCCCTGACCGTCTTGCTACTGCCCGCGACCGCTTTCTTAGCATCCACCCCAGTGACCTCACCCTCACTGACTTTCGACACCCTGTCCGCCTTGGAGACCCGCCAGCGCTCAATCGCCCAGGCCAGCGGTACTGTGCCGGTCTCTATCTTCCAGGGTTGTGCCCCTACTCAGTGCACCTTCTCCGATGGTTCTGCTGCTGTGGCTGAGACCGCAGCTACAGCACAGTTCCGTCCGGGGAAAGGTCGCCGTCCCAAAGCTGGGCGTGGCGGTGGGGGTGGTGGTGCAGAGGGCGGTGGTGGTGGCGTCGGGTCGTCCGGTGGTAGCGCTGACGAGGGGACCGTGCCTGGTGCAGCCGAGCAGCCACCTCAGTAGCCGCCGCCATCACAGCCTGACCCGCACCAGCCGCAGCAGTATCTCCAGCACCAGCCGCAGCAGTCGCAGCCGCAGCAGCAGAGGCGGCCGAGTGGACTCCCGCCCGGGTGGCTTGGCGCTGGTGGTGACGCGGGCCGTGGTGGTCGTGCGCGTGGTGTGCAGTCGGGTGGCGGTTCAGGTGACGCGCGCTGTCACTACCAGCTCTAGACTGGTCCTCGCCGTGGCTTCGTTTGCGGTACGATCGGTCACTCCCCCATCCGTTGTTTCCGTCGCTTGGACGACCTGTTTCGTCAATGCTTCGGCCCGTCGCCCGACCTTCCCGACTGGCACAGCTTGCTTCGCCGTAGTGTTCCGAATTTTTATATGGACATGGATGAGCTTTGTTTTGCCATGCATGTACTGTATGCCGATGACTCTAGTGTGACTGTTTCTTACTACCCCTTGTTGCCTAGTGTAGGCGTGTCTAGTCTTGCCTCCCCTGCTGCGTCAGGCGTAGGATGCCCTACCTTGTTTAGCCTTGGTTCTTCCCTCGCTGCTCCGACTCCGGCCGCCACTGCTGCTCTCTCCTTCACCCTTGACTCTGGCGCTTCCCTGTGTTTCTTCCGCGACTCCACTAAGCTGACACCACTTGCTGCTCCTACTGTAGTTTCCCTTGCCGACCCCTCCTCCGGCCCGGTAGTCGCCCGCAGTTCCACCACCCTTCCCTGTCCGGCGGTTCCTTCGGGTTCTCTTATAGGCGTGCACCTCCCCTACTTCTCCAGGAACCTAGTTGGTGTCCGCTGCCTCCAGGACCTTGGCGTCACCACTGCGTTCCCTGGTCATGAGCGGTACGCTGTCTGTACCGAGGCCGCCACTGGTGTCCCCCTCACCACGTTCCCCCGGGACCCGGTGTCCAGCCTGTTCACACTGGACAACGCGCCCCCCCCGGTTGGGACGTCTCCTCAAGTGGCTGCGTCTACCCAGCTTGCTGCGGCCTGCTCCTGTCGGTCGCTCACTCACCCGACACTCCGGAGGCACCACCATCCAGGTCACCTTGCACTCCCGCGTTTGCGTCACATGTCTCAGCACGGTCTTGTCCTAGGTCTCCCAAGGTCGTTCCCCGAGTTGCCCTCCTCCCCAGCACCACCGTGCAAGCCCTGTATCGAGGGCCGGCTCCGCTGTGCCCCTCACTCCTCCTCGCTCCCCTCCTACCGTCGCCTCCTCCGTCCTCCCTTGTTGTTGCGCCTCCGCCTTTGTTTGACTACCTTCGTGTCGCTCGTCCTCTTGTCCCTCGGGTCCTTGCCTCTCTCGTTACCGAACCGTCTATTCCGGTCCCGTGTCTTGACGCTCTTGTTACTGCGGTAGCTGACTTCGCCTCTACCCGCCACCTTGACTATGGCACCGCTCTGGTTTTGACCCTGCTTGTCCTCCGTCTGTCGGGGGTGCTCCTGCCCTCGGCAGTGACGTCCTGGAAGACCGCCAGTACGAGCTTGCTTTCCTATCCGAGGCTGCTCCCCTTCTTTGTTCCATGCTGCTAGTCCCTGAGGGTGACCCAGACGCTTTCGACATCCCGACCCCTCGCACTTACGCTGAGGCGACCTCGGGACCTTGGGCCTCTCAGTGGATAGCTGCCATAGAGCAGGAGATGGCATCTTGGAGATCCACCGGCACCTATGTCGACGCAGTTCCCCCACCTGGGGTGAACGTAGTCGATGGCCGCTCGCTCTTCAAGGTGAAGCGCCCTCCTGGAGAGCCGCATGTGTTCAAGGCGCGCTACGTGGCTAGAAGCTTTAGCCAGCGTGAGGGGGTGGACTTCTTTCAGACCTTTGCCCCGACTCCAAAGATGACTACTCTTCGGGCACTACAATACGTAGCAGCACAGCGTGACTACGAGTTGCACTCCCTCGACTTCTCCACTGCGTTTCTTCAGGGAAGTCTACATGAGCAGGTCTACCTGCGTCGCCCTCAGAGCTTCACTGGTACCTTCCCTCTTGGGACCCAGTGGCTCCTGCGGCGCCCAGTCTACGGCCTGCGGCAGGCGCCCCGTGAGTGGCACGACACGCTACGTGCTACCCCTGCAGTTCTTTCCGCCCTCTGCAGACCCCTCGCACTTCGTTCGTTCTGGCCAGACTCCGTTCTGCATCCTCGTTTACGTAGACGATCTGGTCTTTGCCACAGCGGACACTGACGCACTAGCCTCCGTGAAGGCCGAGCTGCTGAGGAGACACACCTGCACTGACCTAGGAGAGTTGCGCCGCTACCTTGGCTTGCAGATCTCCAGGGACAGAGCAGCGCGCACCATCACCCTGACTCAGTCACACTTGGCTCAGTCCACACTTGGCTCAGTCACACTTACCTGATAACTTGCACTCGTCCAGATCTCGCATACCCTCTCCGCATCCTGGCTCGCTTTATGGCCACAGGCAGACACCGACCTCAGCACTGGTCGACCGCTAAGAGGGTTTTGCGTTATCTTGCAAGTACATCGGGCATGGGGTTAGTGCTGGGAGGACGCAGGCCAATGGTCCTTACTGGGCACACAGACACTTCCTGGGCAGACGACGCTGAGACCCTCAAGTCCTCACAGGGCTACTGCTTTAGCCTTGGTTCAGGTGCTGTCTCGTGGAGAGCTACTCGCTCCTCTTCTCTTGCTCAGTCCAGCTGTGAGGCCGAGATGTACGCCGGTGCCATGGCGGCACGCGAGCTCCGCTGGCTGACCTTCTTGCTCACTGACTTAGGTGAGGGGCCTAGCTCTGCCCCAGTCCTGTACGCTGACAACAGGGCCATGATCCTCCAATGTCAGGAGCCTCGACTTGAGGGCAGAGCGAAGCACATTCAGTTGCGGTACCTCCTCCTGCGCGAGCTACAGCAGCGTCGCCAGGTCCGCGTTGTACACTTGGCCTCTGGTGCCAACAGTGCTGATATCTTTACGAAGGCGCTTGCGCCTAGATATCATCAGCGGCGCTCTGTACAGCTAGGTCTTGTTCCTGTTGCATCTCACCTGCTAGGGCCTTGACTATGTACTGTCCTTTATATATTTTACCTTGACTGGCCTTGTGGCCTATCCCAGTGGTTGGACTAGTAGTGCCACCCTGGTCTTGCTCTTGTTGTTCCTGTACTCTGTTTGACTGGTCTGTAGTGTTAAGGTAGCACGAGGCTAGGAGGAAGTGAAAGGAGGCCGCCATGGATGTGGCGGCGGGGTTTAGCTAGGAGAGTAGGAAAAATGTCGAGAGGAAAGAGAGTTGGATTAGGAAGAGAGGGGAGTACAAGGAGGGGTTTGTACCCCCTACAGAAAGGTTCAGTAACAACCTACCAAGCCTATATTAAATTATAACATATATAATTTGAACATGTAGACCCTTGCCTCAGTGGTTGGACTAGTAGCGCCGCCCTGAGCTTCTTGTTTTCCTGTTAGGCACTGCCCCTATATAGTCTAGGGGGTGTGTCAAACATATCAAAGTATGTTAGTATAGACAATATAGGTTTGTGCCTTAGTGGGTACAACACTCTATGCTATATACTCCTGTACTCTCTCCTTCTAATCATTTCTTCAATTTTGATACGTAGCTCTGATACTAGCTGTTATGAATTATAACTCAAAGTATAGTGCAGAATACTATAGGGGAACGTGATTCCAGAATCCTACAGAATAATGAGGCATAGGGCTTATATAGTGCGAGTTGACCAAGGTTGAATGTCGAGAGTTGGACCAGTCAAGGGCTCAGTAGTCCCGACCCGAGGGTGACGGGGTCAAAATGGGTTTGGGGCGACTAGGGATCAGGTTGGGGCCGAAATGGTCGGCCGGGGCTGGTTTGGAGCGAGAACCAAGGGCCGAGCCTGCGGACGCGCACTGTTCACGTGTACTCGCTGTGGCAAGCCCCAGTAAGGAATCGTAATTCCTTACTGACAGGGAAAGGTGAAACAGGAAGGGTAACGGAAAAACACTTCAATTTTTCCATTTTATCCATTTTACCTTATACATTTCAGAAGCCCCGTGTGTTTTATTTATTTACTCAGTTATAAGCAACACCCCTAAATTGCTCCTAAAACGATGAGACCACGTAGTGCTATATACAGGCAAATACGGGTAGTTGAAACAATACTACTGTTTCCGTGAGAAACTGCCTGGAACGGTGTCTGAACAGCACTATCAACCTGTTAGTGTTTGGCACATATAGACAACACCAACCAGCATGTCACTGCTACTACCACCACTTCACACAAAGCTATCTGCAAGGTTTTCATCTAAAGATGCAGGCAGCTCTGCACCGTCAGCAGCAACCCCCTCAACCCCTTCATCCCCACCCAAGTTACCAACAACGCTGGTGGCTGCAGCAGCAGCGGGCACTGGCATGCCATGGCCGCCTCCTTGAGGCACACCGTGTGCGGCATGTGCACGGCCGGTTGGGGGCAGGGTGAACGGATTCTGAGCTGTGTGCGTGGAGAGTGTGCTGTGCGTGCTGGGAGTGGTGGGCGTGATGGGAGTGGTGGCAGCGCCCCCCCCACTGCCTATGGCCAGGGCACATGCGCGCAGCGCTGCCACCTCCTTCTCCAGCTTCTCCTTCTGCTCCTCGCCCTGCTGCACTTGCTGACTCAGCACCACCACTTGCTTACTCAGTTCAGCGTTCTCCCGCTGCAACGATGAAGTCTGCAAGACAAGGGGAGGTGGGAGAGAGATCAGGTGAGAAGAACATACGAGGTGAGAATGACAGAGCTGGCAGCCAGCAGAAGCGGAAGGGACAAGACTCACTAATTTGCATAGAAGAAATTGGAGCAGGCAAAATGGAAGCGTGAGACGTGGGCTAATGCAAAGTGCAAGAGGGTGCATGGGCGGCATGTGCGGCGCTCACCAGGACCTCCAGCTCGTGCAGTCGACGCTGGCGCTTGACGCGCGCCCTCTTGGCCGACTCGCGGTTGCTCTTCATCCTGATGACACACACGCACGACGCATGGCGGGGCACGGCGAGTTGGGTGGGGGGAACACATCACGCGACACAAAGGGTGACAGTTAGAGACAGACAAAGACAAACGAACTCACGCTTCCACAAGCAACGCATACATGCGCCCTCACCTCCTCATCCGCCTGCTCCATTCCAGAGTGAGGTCGTCGCTGTTCCCCCCTGCCACGTCCGTGTCCCCTGCTGCCACACTGCCACCTTGCGCACCACCCATGCTGCCCCCTGCTGGCCTGCCTGAGGCCGCATCCATCCATGCGACATCCTCCATGCCCGCCTGCCCCCATCCATCATCCACGTCATCCCCATCACTGCCACTGCTCCCTCCCTCTCCTCCTCCCACTCTGCATCCTCCTAAGAGTCCCCCCCTCGCTCCCATAATCCCTGGACTCTTCATGTCCCTCCCGCCCATACCCACGTCCCGCACATTTGGAGATGGACTCATCGTCCCCACCCCCTGCTTCCAGCCTCCCCCGCTTACCTCCGCCATACCGCCCCCGTCTGCTTTTTCGTCCTGCCCTTGCTCCCCGTCTCCTGTCCCCATCGCAGTCCCTGCACGGTGCACCCGCACGCCCCCATCGCGTTCACTGGATGCGCTGCCATTCCGCCACGACACTTCTCCCAGCGCACTATTTTCTTGTGCTGCGAGTGCCTCCGCCCCCACATGCACACCACTCTGCCCGCCAATCGCCGCCACAAGCCCTCCAGGGCTCTTGGCGCTCCAGTTGCCCTGCTGCATTGTGTCGAGGGCAGCAGTGGGGTTCGGAGGAGGGTAGGGTTGCGCACGAATGAGATCATGCCACGTGGACATGTTGCTTGGATGATCGGTAAACGTCTCCTGCACAGCAGCAGATGGCGTGCATGGCGTAGGGCGCATGGAGGCGGGCGGCAATACTAAGGACCCATGGGCATGGGAGCCATGGGGGTGGCGGACTTGGGGAGAGGCGTGCTGCCATGCACCCACCTGCAATCCTCGGCTGTCTGGCACCCCATCATCCTGGGCCTTCCGATGCTGGCTTGACTGCTGTTGACTCACTCCTTGTGGGCTCTGCTGCCCTTGCTTATGTTGCGCCTGCGCCTGCTGCGCCTGCTGCTGTGCGAGTGGCTGCTGCTGCCCCTCGCCTCCCCCCTGTGCCAGTGCGGAGTAGTCACCAGCGGCGAGCAGAGCTTGCAGCGCCATCATCTGCTGCGCCAAGTGCTCCTTGTCGTTCCGCGACACACCTGCCGCATCCACCTGCCCTCGCGCCGCCTCTCCCTGCTCACGTCCGCCTGCCACCATTGCTGCCGCCCACGCGTCCTGCTCTGCGCCCTTGTCCAGGCCACTGACCGCTCCGTTCTTTGCCAGAGCTTTCTCGCGCTCCTCGCGCAGCCCCAGCTGCTGCATCCACAGCTGCTGCACCAGCGCCTCCTGCCCCGCCTGCGCCATGGGATGATGCTCCACCGCTGTCGTCGCCGCTGCCTTGTCGGCCCTAGGCCCCCACGCCGATGAGCATGACGCCAAACCGCGCGACCGCGCCTGCTCCCCTCCTGCCAGCGGCATGCGGCATGCTGCCATGCCCTGCGCCATCGCGCCGCCTCCTGCCGCCATCACCCATTCTCCCACGCCTCCAATCGCCCTGCCGATTGGAGCTAAGTGCAGCTCTTGCGCGGCGACATTCGCCGTGGAATCCATGCCGGGGATAGCTCCTACGCCCCTTTCGCCTCTGCCTTCCACCGCCAACCCGTCCGACGCTGGCGCTTGCGCGTGCGCGCCCATGACAGGGCCTGTCAGCGCGTGCGACCGCCGGCCTGCCACAGCAGCGCCCGCACCCAGTCGGTGATCGGGCTGAACTCCAGAATTGCCTCCGCCGCGGCCCATCTCCAAAAAGCCAGCCGCCGCTGGAAAACTGGAGCTTGGACTACCGGGTATGCCATGCTGTTCCAGCCTTGGGCGCACGGTTTGGGCGGCACTGGCCGCGTGAATTGCCGTCACCGCCCTTGGGGGTAGCTGAGGGGGGCTGTTGCACGCGAAGGGGAGGCCGGCGGTTGTTATGAAACGAGAGAAGGAGTCCAGGGAAGATGCGCTACTTGACGTCGCACCTGCTGCTGCCAAACTCCCCACGGCTGCGGCGGCAGCATTATTGGGATTATTACTGGTATGAGGGATTCCGGCAACGCCATGGTTGGAATGCATGAGTGCTGACTTCTCACCCATTCCGAGGCGCGTTAGTGGTTGCAATATAGGCAAGCGATTTGAAGGAGCCGCCAAGGCAGATGGCAGCGTCGCGTTAAAGGATCCGTGCTCCGAAGCCGCATCAGCCGCACGGGAAAGGTCGGACATGTGGAACCCGGAACCGATCGCGAACCCAGGGATAGACTGACTGTGGCTCCCCATTCCAGAGACCGCCGTGAAAGGCGTTCCGCACAGCTCCGGAACCAATTCTGCTGCCGAGCCACACACCGCAGCTGGGTCCACGGACGCCGGAATGTTGCCGGATGGCTGCCCTGTCGACGCGGGCGTAAAAAAGTCGCCGATTAATCGACGATGCTCCTCTTCCACGGCCGCGAGCGCCGCGGCCGCGAGACTTGCCGTCGATTGGCCTTGCATAGAGGATGCTGACGTTGTACTAACTGCTCTGCGTCTTGGAGAAGCATGCTGTGCCTGGTGTGACATAGCACTGCGCAATTGCACCCACCTCCTTGCGATCACGCGCCTCAATCACTATTAGCTAACCTGGGAGCCGCGGCTTCGCGGTGAAACTATCCTGCGCAGGCAAAAGGAGTTGAAGCTGGACGTCACGAAAAGATTCCTTCCGCGCGGCCCCCTTTGTGGAGACATCCTGTGGCTGCTCACCAATAGGGGGGTGTTCCAGCCCTCGAAAGGTCAATCGATATGTTTTAGTTGGGCTGAAGTGGTTCGCTCGTTTCCCCTCATCACGAAATGGAGTGGGGGGAGAAGAAATGACAGCGACCAAACAGGAACAGGAGGCCATCGGAGGATGCTCGAATTTATTGGCGGGCAAGTACTAAGTGAACTGTGGCCGCGGGCCGGGGCCCATGGGCAGAAGCTAAACTGCTAGTGACGGGCACGGCATTTGCATGGCCGAAGATCGCGTGGTGTGTGTGCGAGGTGAGGACTGAGTGAAGCGAACCCTCGAGAAAGTGATCACCCTAGGAGTGAGTGTGCAAGGGGTGGCCGGCAAACTGAAGAGTGTGAATGGGAGAGCATGAATTCGTGGCCACCTTGCATTTGGGTTCAAACACCGTTGCTGCGCTGGGCAAGGTGTGAGAGCTCGGCTGTCCTGTCAGCGAACCGCGATGTTCTCAATGTGGTGAAGCGGCTTGCCAGATTGTTGCTTGGTTGGTGTTTGCTGGCAGGAACTTGGGGCCGGGTTGGACGGCATGTGCAGCGCTGGCAGCTGCGAGCTGTGGGAAAGCCAGCAGCTATTATGAATCGATGGTGTGCAAGAATATTCATGCCAATGAGCGACAAGTAGAGCCATGCCGCGTCAGGGAGAGCCAATCAGATTAAGATAACTGGATCCAGCGCATTTTATCTCAAGGCCACACAAACAACCTCGCATGGCGCCTTGGATAAAGGTTTGGTTATAATTGAAGTGTTCTTCTGCCCGCCTCTGCCCCAAACAAATTGACGTCCAGCACTGCTGAGTGTTGTGCGACTTCGACACCGCCGCAGAAGCTTCACTTGCATGGCCCGCGCACGAGAGATTCTGGGACTCGTGTATGACGCCAGTGTCACACGGGAAGACCCGAGTTGGAAAAAAAGCCCGAGCCCAGACTTCCCGAGGTTGAGGGCTGTTTTGACCGGAAACGCGCAGTTAGCTGACAAACTTTGCAGCACACAGGTGGCGCGAATACATATCCAGGACTCGCCGTTGGGTTTAGAAGACCCGCGGCTCCTTAGACCGCGGGTCAGCCTCGGCTCTGTCTCCGGGTGCGGAATGCTCTCTGTGAGAGTATGATCTGGTTTGGCTTGGTGTTGGCGGGTTTTGCTAGGGTGCTGCCGGGGCTGGCTGGGATAGTAGGAAAACGGTCGCACCAGAAAGACCCTGCTGTGCGAGACCCAACCTGTGCACTGTACAACATCTAGGTTGGAAAGGGCGCGCAAACCCTTCATGAGTCATGACGTACTGCCGCCGTACAGTTATCCTTTGTAACCTTTAATAACGTACTCCACCGTATTGAACATCGCTACCAAATCATTCTGTGTAGGGGGTAATACGCCAATAAAACTGGAAACCAAAACACGCTCCCTGAAACAGGGGATGTCTCGAGACGCGGGGGAGCTGATCACTGGTCAGGGAGACCGCTGTGCTGTGCTGGTCAGGACAAAACCCTAGCCTAAACCCCGGAGGTGCTTTATTGCTTTTATCGAAACAATATTTCCTACATGCAATAGGGCATATAGTGCATAATATCCATAGCATGTAAACATGGAATCGGTTTTCCTTCATAGCCCAAATGGTCTCTTTCTTGCGTTAGGCCCCACAATGATACTAACTGCATCCTACTGAGTACCGTAATCCCCCATATAAAACACCCATTGGAATTAAGCTCCCCCGGGTAGCTTGAGCGGGTATGGGTGCTTAATTTAACTGAATTTAGTTACCACCCTACCCTTGGCCTTGAAAACATTTGACCACCCTCCCCCGAGATGAAAATCGCTTTTTCTACGTTTTGCTGAATACAACTTCTTGAATTAGACGTTAGCAATACAACTAGAGTACACCGTGCTACTTCTCGACCAAAATTCACAACTGAACTAGCTGGTGGCACCACCTGGAGCTTGAATCCTACCTACTGGCTCTACCTAGAACCTAAATTAACCACTACACTTTAAATCCTTACACTACTCCAGATATTCATGCATCTGCGACTGCTCTAGTCGTCCTCCTCAGGCTCCTCATCACCAACCTACCACATCTCGACGTCGCTCCCATCTGCAAGCTCATCCCACCAGCAGTTGTCGTCATCCTCCTTTGCAATGCCTTGTGCTGGCCACACATCAACACTTGCTGCTGCTGCTGATGCAGTGTCTGCATTGTCTGCGCTCGTCTCAGCTGCCTCGGTTGCTGCTCCAGCGTAGTCGATGTCGTTAGCCGCCAGCGATGCCGCATCTGCCTCTTCGTCAGCGACGTCCCCGTTCACATCGATGAAGGCGTCGTAGAGGGGGTCGATGTAGCCGCTCTCGCCCTCCTCGACGTGGACATCATCCATCACCTCGAGGTCGGGCTTGCCGCGGAGGTGGCGGAGAGCGAGGTTGTCCTCGGTGCCATCCAGCGCATTTGATATCCCGCACGTCTTGAATGAACTCCGCACGAGCTCCTCTGGCACAGCCTCCCATGACCGAGCAATCCATTTCAAGATGAGCTCAGCCCGGGGCTTCTTCAGATTTCCTGCACATGGGACGGGAGCATGATGGGAGGAGAAGAACACGGGCACGGTGAGATAACGACTGGGAACGGGCACAGTGGAATTCGTCAACAAGCAAAAAGTCTAATACAACTGAGGAAGCGACTAGGAAGGGGCTCATCTGCCGCAGTCTTCAGGTCGATGCCGAACTGCTCAAACCACGCGCCGTAGTCGCTGCACACGCCAGCCTTGAAGCTCTTGTTCACTACGACGTCCAGCAGTTGAACGAGAGGCGTGCAACCACCGGGGATGACCGCGCGGGTAAGTTTGCAAAGCTTCATCGTCTGCCCGACTGCTTGCGTGAGGTGGCCCTTGTACGAGTCCAGGATGACGAGCGCCTCCTTGCACCTATTCCCCGCTTCGCGCAGGGGGCGCAAGAACGGGTTCAGAACTTGAGTAGTCCAGTCCTGGATAAGCTTCTCGTCCATCCAGCCCTTCGGCTGGGCTCGGATGATGACACCTGGATACAATCACAAGCCACAACAACAGTCAGAGGGTAGGCATCGGCGTACACTATGCACAGAGCGAAAAGCAAAGGCGATTCTTACCCGGGCGAACCTGAATCTTTGGCAGCGTCTTCCGCTTGAAGATGACATACGGCGGGAGCTTCAATCCCGAAGCGGTGACCGCCAACATGACGGTGAGCCGCTCCTTTTCATAGCCGCCCGTCCTCACATGAACCGTACGGGGGCCTCTGTGCTCCAACGTCCTCTCCGGGGGCATTTCGATGAAGAGGGGGGTTTGGTCGGCGTTCACGATGTGGTCGAGGTTGTACCGGTTGAGAATCCGCATCTGTTTGACAAACTCCTAGAACTTCTCGATCTGACTCCTCATGTCTGCCTAGAACAAAACAGTCGGTGAACAAATTCAGGCGTGAACACGCGAGAAGCAAGACAATCAAAAGAATCAAATATTGAAAGTCGCGGCAAGGGATTGAATAACAAGGATGGGACGACAGTTTACCGTCGGCGAGCTTTTGCCCCATCTTCGTTTTTACCCGACGCGTAAAGCCCCAGCGCGCGCGGAATCTGAACGTCCAACGACTCGACGCTCTCCAATCGACGTCGGGATGATGTACGCGCATGTGCGAGCGACTCCATTTCTGCAGCAGCTTGACGGAGACGGCAAGCCCCCTCCCGCGGTGCCTCAAGAACTGTCGGTAGAGGGCGCTCTCCATCGTCGGGTACTTCGCGGGACGTCTGGCGTCGCCGCTTGCAGAATCTGTCGCAGCGGCGTCGACGCTTGTAGAGTCTGTCGCAGCGGCATCGCCGTCGGCAGAGGACCGACGAAGTAAAAAACGTCTGCTGGCCATAAGGGCCCTTTCGAGTTAGAAGGCGAGACAAGCCAGTGCCGGAGGCCATGGCGGGGGGACGTTACAGAGACGGAGCTAGAGGATGCCTTAGACAGCCCTTGCAGGGGCTGTCTTGAAGGCATCCTGGAGTCGAAACTGAAAATGAGAGGACGGAGCGGGGTAGACCCACTTCAAGAGTGGGTTGGAGGGGAAGGCAGGGACGTGGGCGACTCCCTCGTCCCTGTCGCCCATGAAATGCCTCTCACGACCATCCAGAATGTGTGATTCCGTGCGCTGACCGGTCGTGAGAAGGCATCGACGGAATGTGCCGTTGATTTCGCCACCCCATGTTGTGCTGGCACAGCATGAGTTGGAGGCATCAAGGTGGCTGCCTGCAGCACAAGCTGATAGGCTACTCTGGCAGCATACTGAATCAACAGCTTACGTAAACGATGTGGCATGCAGATGGACCAAATCGTTGGGTACGCGATCAGATAGCAGAATCGGACTCCATACTCAAACAATGCCCTGTCACAAGTACAGTTGAATTCAAATAAAAAAAATGCATATGCACATTCCATAACTCCTGGGTGCTGTATTTTTTCTGCCTTTAATTACACCCAACCCAAAATTTCGTTGCATTTTTATCACCACCATAGGGTGTTTTATATGGGGGATTACGGTAATATTAGATAGACATTAATGATCTGTGAAGGGCACTGCAAAAGCTACTCACATCAGCTCATGCGAAGGAGGGATGTGGGAGGGAGGTGTGGGAAAGGGGGGGGGGGAGTGCTGGTGGAGGAAGGGAGAGGGGTGGTCGCCAAAACCTCTGGTAGCATTTCAAATCCAAGGGCAAGGTTGATGCACACCGAGTTTATATCCACAGATCCTTGCCCAGTTACCACTTCCCACTGACATTCACCCATGATTCGGCTAACACACACGGCTAACTGAATTTCGAGATTTATGATGACTACAAACCAACTGCAGTGCCCTCAGCTTGACCGTTACACCAGCCATCAACAGCACCCATCAATCACGCCGAATCACCCTGCGCAGTGCCCAACTCCCTGCACATTCAGGGAATGGCCCCAAGAGACAAGGCAAGCAGTGGTGGCGGCGCGGCGCCGAGTGTGGCGGGTGGGTGGGAGAGGCTGAGGCTGCCAACAGAGTGCGCTAGGAAGTCCACAGCAGAGGAGCGGTAGCGGTCGGGCAGGTCCGAGGGGGAGGTGCGGCCACTGGCGAGCAGCATGTGCTGCAGTGTGGTGATGAGCGCTGCGTCCGCCACCAGGTCCTCCATCCGCACATGCACACCTGCACACATGCCACACGAACGTCACGCAGGGGAGGATAAGGGGGGGATAGTGGGGGCCCAAGAATTTGAGTGTGGGCTCAGGCGTGTGCAGGACATAATGCACGGACAAACAAAGAAAGAACAGAGAAAACGCAAGAGCATGTGACCAGCCCAAGGAGCGGAGGGCGAAAGGGCGGAGGGCAGAGAGTGCAAGGGGCATCTCACGGAATCGCCAGTAGTGGCGTGGGTTGGTGGGGTCGTTGATGGTCTCGTCGTTGGCTGGCCGCGTCAAGTACTCCTCCCGCAGCGCCATGAGATCCTGACACACGCGCACGAGCAGCGCGATGCATGCACACAATGCAGGGCGAGTGAGCAGGCTTGGATGGCAGCCACATGGCACAAGGAGAGCACAGGCACGGGCATTGGCATGGGCATGGGCATGGGCATGGGCATGGGCATGGGCATGGGCATGGGCATGGGCATGGCGAGTCCATGGTACAAGCAGATGGCGTGGGCTGGTGCAATGATCCATGGTGATACGTTGAGCAGTGGTGGTGGCTGCAGTGACAGCGTGGAGCAAGACCTGCAGTGGGAAGATGGCCCACACGCTCGGTGCATCGCAGTGCTGCTGGATGATCGCTCTTGCCACGTCAGGTGTACACCTGCAGCCCCGACAGGCAAAGCAACGGAGAGTTGGAGGGTTGGCGTTGGTGAGTGGTGGATGGTGGAATGAGGCGCGTGACGGGCACGAGAAAGACTTGTGACAGGCAGCGACACAAGCAGTGCAACGCAGCATGCAGTGGCCTACACAGTCGAATGGGCAGGCAAGAGAAAACCCGGGTTCCACAGACAATTGCAAAGGGAGGAGTGAGCGCGGCAAGTAATGGCGAAGGATGGGGCAGGGATGAGCATAAGGATGACGGGGATGAGAGAGAGGACAGAGGCGCGGAGGGAGTACCGGTCGGGGGCGGGCGAGCTGAATCCAAGCACGGAGCGGAAGAACTTGTGGCGGCGCTCCGGCTCCTCCTCCCACCACGCCCTCAGCGTTGACGTGTCGTGACACGACGGCGCACACACCTGGGGAGGGGCGACGGGATGAGAACCGGGTTGAGAGAGGGGTTGCAAAGAGAAGGATGGGGAGGGAGGGGGAGGGAGGACGAGGTGCCATGCGCAGCAAGCGTAGAGAGAGCTGTGGATAGAGGGCTGTTAGGGAGAGAGTCAGAGATGAAACAGGACCACTTAGCTGGGCAGCTGTCACCCTGGCAGAACAACAGCCTCTCTGGAGACTCAGCGAGCGCAGTGCAGCCCGTGGCTGGAGGTTCAATATGCGCGCGCTCAATGCAGGGCACTGCCTCTGATCCGCTCGTTTTGCCTCATATTCGCAGAGCATATAGTGGGCGTCTGTGTGATTCCTTTACTTCTTGGCATGTGAGACGAGCAAGCCACGACAACAGCGCCCTTCTCCAAAAGTCTTGATCTGCTGCGGAACAACCTCAAGAACCCAGCACAGTGTTACAGCGCGCAGCAGCGGCACGCCATGAGGGTGTGGGCAGGCAGGCGACTGACCGTCATGTAGTCGTATTCTGCGGGGTTGCCGAAGTCCTGGCCGATCTTGGTGGCCATGCGCTGGATGCGCAGCCCCAGTAGCCCCAGCTCCGCCAGCACCTGGGGGGGCAGCACGGGTGGCATGGCAGCACACAGTGGGCAGGTGAGGGCTGGCAGGGGGCAGTGCAGCACCTCCCAGGGGACGAGAGATGCTGGTGGAGTGAGGCATGTGATGGCGCGATGCCACCGCACGGCCACAGGGGGCATGGCATGCCCAGCACACAGCATGTACGGCCAGCACACAGCACATATGGGCGGCAGAGAGCACGTACGGGCGGCACACAGGCGGGCACGAGGCCGAGGTCCTCCCCGCAGGCGAGCATGTCGGAGGCGTTCATGAGCACAGGCAGCGTCTTGAGCGCGTTCGACCGCCACAGGCTCTCCTGCCGCGAGTAGTAGTAGTCCAGGTACAGCCGCTTCACCACCGCCTTGCTGGGGGGGACACGCAACAGGGGCACGGCCAGGAGTGGGATGTGGAGAGGAGGGGATGTGGAGGGAGAGGGTCAATACATGGTAGGGGTGAGTAGTTGATGGACCAAGGAGGTGAGGTGGCAGCAGGCAGAGACTACTGCTCATGGTGCTCACACAAGAGGATGGGTATGCTTGTGGTTGGTGGTGAGTGAGGGCAAGGGCGCTTGTAATCACACGGAGCATGCCAGCATGCCATTGGGAGACCAAACATTGAACATCAAGCAAACACCTAATCCAGACATTATCTCTTAGCCTCTCAAATCCGCCTCTGACCATGCACTGGCCCCCCTCCTCTCCCTCCAATTCCTCTCCCTCCAATTCCTCTCCCTCCAATTCCTCTCCCTCCAATTCCTCTCCCTCCAATTCCTCTCCCTCCACCCTGTCTCCCCACCCCGCCCTGCGCGTCTGTCTCACGTGTGCTCGTCGAGTTCCATGAAGCTGGCGGTCTTCTCGCAGTCAAAGCGTGGGTAGAACTTGCGTGGTTCGTCCTGAGTGCGGATCAGCACCACGCTCTGCCATGGCCGCCGTCACAGCGCAGGGAGAACGGGGAAGTGCGGGGGGGAAGGGGAAGGAGGGGGTTTTGAGAGGAGCGAGGAGGGAGCAGATCAGTGGGGAAAAGGGGCAGGCAGCAGAGATTAATGGTGGAGAGGAAGGGCTGAGCAGCTGCAGACGCCAGGAGCATAGGAGCACAAGTAGCCGTGGCAAGAAGCAAGAGGGGGAGAGACGGTGCATTGAGGCGAGGGGGAGGAGGAGGGGGCACCTGGAAGAGTGAGAGCAGCCCCTTGCGCGTCTCCTTGGCCTCCTCCTCCAGCCACTCCGGCGACCCCTCCCTGGGCTGCACCGCTGCCACTATCTTCTTCTCCGTGTCGTACTCCTTCTTGAACTGCCATGGGCCACGTGCATGGGTCATGCGTATGGGTCGTGTGCGGTGCGCCAAAGCCACAGCGAAATCAGGCAGGCTTCAAAGCCGCATGGCGTAAGCGACACAGGGCATGAAGATGGTGCCCAGCCGTGGCAGTGACACACACACACTGGTATGTGGACAGCATTGACTAGCAGAATAGGCACATTACCCTCAAACACATGACATCACCCTGCAGCACAACATTACCCTGCAGCACCGTGCATTACCCTGTAGCACATGTGCTGGTACTCCTCAAAGAACTTGGATGCAATTTCCGTCCACCGCTGACCAAACTTCTCCTGATGTGAGCGCACACACATGGATTGACGACGCAATGGGCATCGAAGCACGATGAGCAGCAGAGAAGTATGAGCAACGGAGCAGAATGCACCAAGTCACACAAGGAGCATCGGAGCAAGGAGAGGGCAGGGGCAGGCAGCGCACCTGCAACAGGTGGCAGCGCACGTAGGGGTCGCACAGCCGATTGAAGTCCCACACGCCCTCCTTCTCCATCTCCTCCTGCCACACCCACATTGCAGGGGCATAGACGCATGATAGGGGCATGATGGGGACATGATGGGGGCATGATGGGGGCATGATGGGGGCATGATGGGGGCATGATGGGGGCATGATGGGGACATGATGGGGGCATGATGGGGGCATGATGGGGACATGATGGGGGCATGCACACCAATGAGGCAGCGTGCCTAATGGACAAACAGGAGCACACGTCGCTCACTCAGACTCGTTCACCATCAGACTTCAATGTTGCAGGCTCAGTGACCACTGGAGAGGACGCTTTGCCACCCACACACACTAGTGTCAATACACCGGGACGGTGAGACTGGAGTGGGCAGGAGGACGAGGGTGTGTTACCGCGGAGATGGGTATGGAGGGGCGGAAGTGGCCGAGGATGCCGCACACGGCGTGGTCTGGAAGCTCCCAGATGCGAAAGAACCCCAGGATGTGGTCGATGCGGTACGCACTGAAGTACTTGGCCATCTGCCCCTCCCCCCACGCGCGCACACACACAGACAGAGGGGATCGGCCAAGGCACACACCAATGGAAGCGAGAGGAGGAAGAAACAGGATAGTTTGACCAGGAATAAATGGTAGCATGCTCTCACCATTATCCCCTCTTATGTATCCCCAAACCCCGCTCCATTCCACATACCCCCCACCATCCCACGCCCCCCTCTGTTGGCACCTGTGTGAGTCGCGCACGCCACCAGGCGTAGTTGTCGCGGCCCATTTCCTCCCAGTTGTACGTGGGGAAGCCCCAGTTCTGCCCCTCCGATGAGAAGGCGTCGGGCGGCGCGCCGGTGGACGTGTCCATGTGGAAGAGCGAGCGAAAGCGCCATGTGTCCACACTGCAGCGGTCCACGCCGATGGGCAGGTCGCCCTTCAGCACTACGTGCCGCTCGTGCGCGTACGCCGCTGCGTCCAGCAGCTGAATGGGGGGCCAGGAGTGGAGGAGGTTATTGAGCGGGGTTGGGGTAGGACAGGGTGGAAAAACGAGGAGACTGAGGAATAGGCCGAAGAGAAAACACATCTGCGGATCCATGGGAGGTGCCGCAATGGGCTGGCACATGGGAGCAGTGCAAACATGGACACTAGGAGCAGAAGCAGTAGCATAGCAGCACACAGACCTGCACGTGCAGGTGGTACTGCACATAGTATGTGAAGGCGATGGTGGCATGGTAGTCCGTGCCCGGCGCCACTATGCGCTCCACCTGACAGGCAACGGTGTGGAAGGGGGGGTGCGGGTTGAGGGGGGGGGTGATGGTATGATGCGTAGAAGAACAGAGCATCGCAGTTCAGAGCTGCGCAGAGAAGATGCAGTCTGTGCTGCAAAGGGTCAGTGACTGACAAACACGGGATGGACGACACGCACAACAGCAGCGACAGCAGAAACACAGGCCGTGCAGTGCAGCACAAGGGCAGTGGGGAGGTGGCAAGCAAGACCTGGTCTTGCGAGTAGTTGGCGAGGGTGCCCCACTGAGTGTGGTCCGCTGTGCCAAAGAGCTTCTTCAGGAAACCAAACGCTGCGTACGGCTTCAACCAGTCCTGGGAGCAAACACGGGGGGGGGGGGGAGGGGGGGGAAGGAAGGAGAGGGAGAGACAGAGGGAAGCAACAGGCGAAGGGCGAGAATGAAGGGGCCACGCAGGCAGTGCACTGCACCCATTCGCCTGCCCCTCCATCGAAACAACAGCCGCCCCTCCTGCTGCCAACGCACCCCTCCCTGTGTCTCACAAAGTGCTGTTCACTGTTCCCCTCCAAGCTGACTCCTCCTTGCCTGCCCCTGTACCACCCCTGCACCACCCCTGCACCACCCCCGCACCACCCCCGCACCGCCCCTGCACCGCCCCTGCACCGCCCCTGCACCGGCCCTGCACCGCCCCTACACGGCCCCTGCACCACCCCTGCACCACCCCTGCACCGCCCCTGCACCACCCCTGCACTGCCCCTGCACCGCCCCTGCACCACCCCTGCACCGCCCCTGCACCGCCCCTGCACCACCCCTGCACCGCCCCTGCACCGCGCCTGCACCGCCCCTGCACCGCCCCTGCACCGCCCCTGCACCGCCCCTGCACCACGCCTGCACCACGCCTGCACCACGCCTGCACCACGCCTGCACCACGCCTGCACCACCCCTGCACCACCCCTGCACCACCCCTGCACCACCCCTGCACCGCCCCTGCACCGCCCCTGCACCGCGACTGCACCACGCCTGCACCACTCCTGCACCACGCCTGCACCACCCCTGCACCACGCCTGCACCACCCCTGCACCACGCCTGCACCACCCCTGCACCACGCCTGCACCACCCCTGCACCACCCCTGCACCACCCCTGCACCGCCCCTGCACCGCCCCTGCACCACCCCTGCACCACCCCTGCACCGCGCCTGCACCGCCCCTGCACCGCCCCTGCACCGCCCCTGCACCGCCCCTGCACCACGCCTGCACCGCCCCTGCACCGCCCCTGCACCGCCCCTGCACCGCCCCTGCACCGCCCCTGCACCGCGACTGCACCGCGACTGCACCACGCCTGCACCACTCCTGCACCACGCCTGCACCACCCCTACACCACGCCTGCACCACCCCTGCACCACGCCTGCACCACGCCTGCACCACCCCTGCACCACCCCTGCACCGCCCCTGCACCGCCCCTGCACCGCCCCTGCACCGCGCCTGCACCGCCCCTGCACCGCCCCTGCACCGCGACTGCACCACGCCTGCACCACGCCTGCACCACGCCTGCACCACCCCTGCACCACGCCTGCACCACCCCTGCACCCCCTGCACCACGCCTGCACCACCCCTGCACCACACCTGCACCACGCCTGCACCACCCCTGCACCACCCCTGCACCACCCCTGCACCACCCCTGCACCGCCCCTGCACCGTCCCTGCACCGCCCCTGCACCGCGCCTGCACCGCGCCTGCACCGCCCCTGCACCGCCCCTGCACCGCCCCTGCACCACGCCTGCACCACGCCTGCACCACGCCTGCACCACGCCTGCACCACGCCTGCACCACCCCTGCACCGCCCCTGCACCGCCCCTGCACCGCGACTGCACCACGCCTGCACCACTCCTGCACCACGCCTGCACCACCCCTGCACCACGCCTGCACCACCCCTGCACCACGCCTGCACCACCCCTGCACCACGCCTGCACCACGCCTGCACCACCCCTGCACCACCCCTGCACCGCCCCTGCACCGCGCCTGCACCGCCCCTGCACCGCCCCTGCACCGCCCCTGCACCGCCCCTGCACCACGCCTGCACCACGCCTGCACCACGCCTGCACCACCCATGCACCACCCCTGCACCACTCCTGCACCGCCCCTGCACCGCCCCTGCACCGCCCTGCACCGCCCCTGCACCACGCCTGCACCGCCCCTGCACCACCCCTGCACCGCCCCTGCACCCCATCCCCCCCCCCTTACCTGGTTCTCCTGGAAGTAGTCCTTGAAGGGCTGCGACGCCAGCAGGCGGTCGCCGTCCCACTGGAACACGGCGCGTGCGATGCGCAGCTTGGCGCTCATGGTCGCCTCGTAGTCCACCGCCTCCCCGTCCAACGCTGCTCTCGCACTCTCTATCTCCGCCTGTAGGGTGCTCACACACACGGCGCGGCATGTGACGCCACAACAGGTGAGGGCACGACATGTGTGGGGCTGACGGGGAGCAACCCAAGGAGTGTGCAGAGCGTGATGCAGTGTGACATCCCATGGCAGGAGCGGGCATCTAGCAATCTCTTATGCAGCAGGAATGGAGAGGCGTACCTGGATTTGCGGTGGCAGGTTGGGGGCGAGCGCTTGGAGTCGTAGGTAGAGCGGGTGCAGAGCGAAGACAGAGAGAGAACTGTGGGGGAGGGGGGGGGGGTGCGTGTGGGGGTGAGGATGGAGGACACAGAAGGAGAAAGAAGAGGCGGTTGGAGAAGAGAGGCTGAGGAATGGCCCAAAAGGGCAGGGGAGCCAGAACGGGATAAGGGGACGGGATGGGAGTTACGGGGTTTGTAAAGTGGGAATGGAGGCTCCGCTCCGTTCCCAAACTCCTTATTTTCTGCCTGTTCGGTTTGTTTCCACAAGCAACAAAAGGTTGCAGACTACACCACCCGCACGAAACCCAAGCAGCTGAAACTTCCAAATTTGAAGTTTGAATTCGTAACTAGCGACGGCAATGTCTCGCAAACTTCGCCTGCGCGATGCATTCTGGCCTGGCCACTTCGCAGCCTTGTCGAGATTGGCGAAATGCGCTTGCGTTTTTCGTGCAGAGTTGTTCTGGTACATGCACCAACGAGTGGCCAAATGTTTTACAACGTGCGTGAAGGTCTTTGCGCAAAATGTTTGCGCGAATCCACACTACTTTACACGCAGATCTCGTGCATCCGATTGGCCTACAATTTCAGGCGGGCATAAAAAACGGAGTTAGGGAACGGAGCGGAGCCTCTGTTCTCACATCACACACCCCTTAGGGTATGAGAGCGAAGGAGGGCGGAAGGGAGGGGGGGGGGACTGACCTGTACGGATACGAGTCCCACCACATGTCATTGACAGAGGTGTCATTGACGGGCAGCAGCTGCACGAGGCGCAGCCCTGCACTGTGCGCAAAGTCCACCAGCAGCTTCAGGTCCGCAAACTCGCCCACACCTACACTCTCCCGCGACCGCAGCGAAAACACCGGGATCGCCACTCCTGCCCCCCGCCATGGGTTCGCCTGAGGGCGGGAGTGGGGGAGAGAGTGGGAGGAGGAGGGGGCGTTTTGGGCGGAGGGGTTGGTGGGGGGATGCAGCTGACATAATGGGAGAACGGGAAGTGCTCAGCTGTCTAAGGGTTGTTGTAAGAATAAGGGGAAGTACGAATAGACCCAGCAGGCCCAAGGGTGGAGGGGTCGGGGTGAGAGTGCGAGGGACGGAGAGAGACGGATTTATCTGATCCAAAGGACCGCTTTGAGGGAGCAGGGAGAGGGGGACGGCTGACTCTGAAGTGGCCGTCGGAGACGAAGATCATGATGGAGGGCTTGCGCGCCGATGTGTCGAGACCCAGCTCTATGTCGCTGCCGTACTCTGATGTCACCGAGCCGTCCGCATCCCGCAGACAGTACTTGTATGTGGTGCACGGATCGCCAGACAGGTGCAAGACGGGAGGGCGAGACGGAGGAGAGGAGGAGAAGGAGAACAAAGGAGGAGGGAGGAGAGGGGGGGAGAGAGGGGGGGAGTAGAGAAGAGCAGGGAGGAGAGGAGGGTAGAGGCGACGTAGCGAAAAGAGGCGAGGGAAGGAAGGAGAGGATAGGGAAGGGCGGAAAAACGAGGAGAGGGAAAGACAAGAAGGCGGGCAACAGGAGATGCAGTGACGGGGGGCGAGCAGTTAAGGAGAACCTTAGGATGCGGAGGGTGCAACACAGACGAGTCGAGGTACGAAAATAGCAGACTCACCACTTGCGCAACAACAGAGAAATGGCAAGCAACACGCTTAGGAAAAGGCAGGAGAATGGGTGGGAGGCAAGGGCAGGGGCGCGGAGAGGATATCGAATGGGGAACTCGTCACGCGGGAGCGAGAGGTCGACCTCCCAGAGCGTGCCGTGCGTGTGCGTCATGGGCACACACCCCCCCGCCTCCCACGTGCCCAGCCGCGGCGCACTGCCCGTCACACACACCTGCGGCGGACGGCAGAGAGATGGAGGGGTGACGGCCGGATGGAAGGGGCGGCAGAGGGATGGAAGGGGTGGCAGAGGGATGGAAGGGGCGGCAGAGGGATGGAAGGGGTGGCAGAGGGATGGAAGGGGTGGCAGAGGGATCGAGAAGGGCAGAGAGATGGAGGGATGGCATGCACGGGATACAGGAGGTTTGCATGCATGCTGGCATGTGCACGAGGCGTGCAGGCACTGGGTAGATGGCAGCAGAGCGTAGGAGGGGGTGGTGATGCGACAGCAGGGCTAGAAGCAACAGACATGAGCTGGGGGTCATGTGTGAGCCATTCAGTGGGCGCTGGAAGAGGGGCTGGGAGAGAGGCAGGGAGGCAACGAGTGAGGGAGGTCACACCACGCAGCAGTGTGCAAATATGACGTACATGTAGGACATACACGCCTTAAGGACAAGTGCAGGGGCGCCGCACACAGCACATGACGTAGAGCGGAAGAGCTCACCTTCTGGCCTTTGTCTAGGCGCGAGCAGTTGACTCTGAATCTCAACACAATGTCATCTGCGTGCAGCACGGCAGCACAGCAGCAGAGAGGGTGGGAGATGGAGCAGAAGCTCCAGCACAGCCATGCGCAATAAAGATTCTTGCCACACCCCATCCGCTCCCATTTCCCACATCCGCTCGCGCACATTGCAATACACCCCAAAGTGCATCAATCGGGTGTGAGCGCACACAAGCACGTGCGCGCATGCACACGGGCATGCACACATCCATGCATGTAGACGTCTACACAAGCACGCATGCCCATCCATGTGCCAGCATGACCACCCACATGGCGCACACGAGCCATGACCCTGCATCAATGCCGTTGCACAGCACGTCCCCTTCTTTGAAGCAGCCTTTCTCATTCAACCTCTCTCCCCCCTTTGCACCAGAATTTCGCCTGCCACCCCTCGCACCTGGCTCCCAGCTCGTCGCCCCCTGTGCGCACCTTTGGATTCGAACAGCTCTGGTGGCAGCGGCGGCAGTGCTGTGAGCGCCTCCTCGCCCTCGTCGTCCGCCTGCGCGGGCTTGCCGAATATCACCTTGCGGAACGCGTTGCGCGACAGCAGCGTCTCGGGAGACGACCCGTCCTGATGGCAGAGGGGAGAGGGGTGAGCGGGGCGCACAGGGACGCATGGGAATGAGGCCATGCAAGGGAAAGGGGAGGGCGGGAGGGGACACGGGAAAGGGGGGGGCAGAGAGAGCCTGAGTGTGGCCGTCGCTGGGCCTGGCATGGCATGCGCGCCGACATCCTCAAACTTGGCCGTGGCCGTGGCATCCCACCAGTGAACGCCACTCAGCTTGACAGTGTCGGCACAGTGGGCTGTCATTTACGAGAGCACCCAAGCAGCCAAGCACTACAGGAGCGCTGGACAAGGTCGGCTCCACAGCACAGCGTTCCCCCTATGACAGTCTAGCACGAGCTCCTTGCAGCAAGGGGCTGTTCTCGATTCGAACTGCTGATTGAGTCAGCCAATCGTGGGGTAAGCCACCGTTCTCCCTACAGTAGCAGGCGCCTCTCCTCTTGCGGATCCACTACAAGAAAGGCTGAGGCCTGCCCTCAACAACAGACTCGATACCCCTCATTGCTACACTCTGTTCCCTCCGCTGCGAGGATCCTCGTTGCCCTCTTGCTCCCTTGGTTGGGGTAAGTCTTGTAATCCTCCCAGGGTACCATATGTGCATCTGTTCCCTTTCTTAACTGCTAGCACTCGAGCCTGCGCCCCTCTCTCTTGACTACCAAACGGCCTACCCCCGAGAGAGATCGAGAGCGCGTGTGACTCGCTGCCAGCTCACCTGCCACGTGTCGAGCACGTCCACCATGGCGCCATCTGGCAGGCCGTCCGGCAGGATGAGTCGGCGGGTGTCGCCGGACTCCCACTTGATGACGTTGAGCTTCTCGTCCACCAGCGCGTACTTGTAGTCCAGCTCGAACTTGTCCGGCACCGATATCAGCGCCTGCGCCCGTGGGGGGAGTGGGAGGGGGGGGGAGGGAGGAAAGGGGAAGGAGGGAGCGGGGAAGTGAGGGAGGGGAGAAAAAAACGGGGAGGGGGACGGGGAAGGGATAGAGGGGGGGAGAGGGGGGAAGATGAGCGCGCGGGAGTTGGGGGCGGGTCAGGGGGAACGGGAAGGAGTATGTAAGATCAGGGCCGACTCTTGAGGGGGATTTGACGGGAAGGAGGTGAAGGACGATGGAGAGGCCGGGCCGGCGAGAGGCAGGGAAGCGAGGAGAGGGAGAGGATGGGGAGGCGAGGCAGCAGAGCTGCGAGGTGCCTGCCATTGCCGAATGGCCTGTGCAGCACGCATCGGCGCTCCTACCGCTCCTGACGACGCGTACACACGGCACGTCTCGCGGGCTACAAAACCGTGAGAGCGGAGGTCGGCAATGGATGAAGGACGCGCCGGGGATCAAGAGGGCGGTCGAACAGAATAAGCGACGACACCGTGTCGCCACACCATGCGTTAACACACCGATCGGACTCGCAAATGGGGCTTTCGAATGCGACGGCCTCTGGTCTTGAACCCTGAGCCCTTCAACGCCTCATTGAATCTAACATGACCTGGCAGCTTCCGAGATAAACCTCGAACCATCCGCGTCCGCACAGTCTGCGACGAGGAAACCGAACCTCTCGCAGATGGACGCTCATACGCGCTATTGCGTCCACCGCTACATGGATCTAAACGAGAGTACCTGCCAGACGAGGAACTCGCCCTCGTGGTGAGGCGTCATCCACACGCCCTGCTTGATGTTCCACTTCCCCAGAAGCAGATCCGAGCCGCTTAGCATCAGATTCTGGCCCCATTGCGTGTAGTAGGAGATCTTAAACCGGAGATTCACCCGGTTGAATCTCTTAAACGGGGAGTACCGGTAGGACGCGGGAGGTGCGGAGGAGGAGGGGGAGGAGTACGACGAGGCGTAAGTGGTGGTGGAGAAATACGGCGAGGAGGTCGTGTTGGTCGAGGTCGCGACGCCGGACGAGGGGGAGAGCACAGTGGATATGGGTACCGCGCCTCCGCCGGGCACGGAACTGGTGGTCATGTACATCGCTGAGGACGAGGAGGAGGACGAGGAGGACGAGGAGGACGAGGAGGAGGACGAGGAGGACGAGGAGGACGAGGAGGAGGAGGAAGACGAGGAGGAGGAGGCGGAGGGGGGAAACGCAGAGTAGATGGGGTCCGTCATCGCGGATCCGCACCGCGCTCTGCTTAATGCCACCCGTCGCCGTCAGCAGCGGAATTTAGGCTGCTCGAGAAAGTTTGTAATAAGAAAGGGGAAAATAGCACAGTAACTCCGAACGGTTGCGACCCACGTGTCTACTTTCGCGAAATCCCGTCAAAAAATCGTCGCGGCAGTAGGGTCAACGCCTATGGAACGAGGCACTGATCGTCGAGACACGAGGTCAGTGTGTGCACTACGTCGCACGACGAGGCAGCTAGAGGCGGAGAGAGACGACAAAACGAGGTATATAAGAGCCAGCACGGCCCGCGTATACTGTGCCTCCGCAACCGCAACACTATTTGCTGCAGCCGCGATCCCTAAGTCACTATTTGCTCCCTAACTCGTGTCTCCTAGATCCTTTAGCCCTCTCTCTTACTGCTGTCTCCTAGCTGACGCGTCACCTGAGGGCGATCACATCTCGCCTGTCCCCTCCAGGCCAATCCTGCCACCCTGCTGCCGTGGCTTGTTGCGGCGCACAGGCAGCCTTGGTTTGGAAACGTCGAGATCAGCGAAACTGGAGGGAGCCCGGGCCAGCAGTGCACCAAGACAGTCGGCGAGACGAGGAATGTTGACGGTCAGCATACGAAACGGCAATCCCGCCGGTTTAGCGTCAAACCCAATCCAACTCACTGGGTGGAATGGGATCTGCGACTAGCCAAAATATCATTGTGCTTGGATATTGGGATCACCCTCTACAAGAGTCCTGATGAAGTGCGAAAACGAGGAAAAATGATATATTATTACAAAAATGACATACTTCAAGCATCACTAACATCTTCAAATGTTACCATGCACTCCAGCCAAATCTCCTGTGGAGAGGAGGATACATGGCGAGTGAAGAAACGCTCGTTATGAGCACAGCCTGGGGAGGTTGGTTGAATTTTAGTCACTCCACGCGTCCTCGTCAGGCAGAGGCCCTTGTTTTCTCCGTTGCAAATGGCCCCTTGACCTAGACTGCACATGCATTCCAAAGCGCGAACCGTCAGAAATCAAGCAGGCCAAAAAATAGGGACAAATGAACTAACAGACGCATCCAACGTGCAGCAAAATTGTAGGTGAATCACATAGGAAGTTGCGACAAGGGAGCGTGTCGTACAGTGGGTAAATGCGCATGAGGGGAGTGCAGGTGGTCTAGTAGAGCAGATGTCCAGGAGAGCAGCTGGCGGTCAGCACCGGATGAGAAGAGCTGCTGAAAGAGGGAGGGAAGGGGGAAGGTGCAAGAAGGGGACTCACTGTTCTGACGCGCACAGGACGGGAATCCAGGATCCAGGACGACGAGGAAGAGCAGCACGAGGAGGCAAATGAGTGAGCAGGGAAAAGACTGTGGTGCAGAGAGAGGTGCACGCACGGGCAAGGCGGGATGGGAGCAGCAGAGCAGAACGTTGTCGAAGTGCGCATGCAGCGAGGCGAGCGACTCCCCTGTCCATGTGTGGAACACCTGAAGGAGGGTGCAGGATGAAAGGAGAGGAGCACATGACTCCAATTCGTTACTATGCGGCAGGACATGCCATGCAGGTGATAAGGAGGAATATAGGACGTGCTTGGAAAAAGAGATGCACCATGCACACGTGCACGCTTCAATCACAGGAGACTTGCACACATGTGCATCGCCTCCAGTCAACATGGAATGATGGAAGCATGCACAACCACACCCCCCCGTCTCACACACGCACACAGCCAGCAAGTGAGGCAGGCAGGGAAGCAGCAGCAGCAGGCGCAGGCGCACTTGCCTGGATGCAGGGCCCCTGGGGCAGGAACACCAGCGACCCGTCGTGGGACACGCAGAACCGAACCGTGCCCGACGCCAGCGCACCACGTGGCGCCCTCTGATTAGCGTAGTGAATGAGCGTGTTGGCGCCCTCCTCCACATCCCACAGCCGCAGCCGTTGGTCCGAGCCTGCCCAGGAATGGGAGGAAGGGAGGCGGGGGGGGGGGGTGGGGGGGTTGGGGGAGGGGGGTGAGATGCCTCCAGAGGAGGTGGAGGATCCAGGGAATGAGGAATGAGGGGCTTGCAGGTGGTGCTGTGAGCGGCTGGGTGAGGGAGCAGGCACGGACCATAGGAGAGGAGGAAGAGCCCATTGGGCGTAGGGGCCATGGAGAGCACCGCCCCTTCATGCGCCACCTGCCCTGTCTCCTCGCCCCCCTGCCACTGCCACTGCCGCTGCCGCTGCCGCTGCCGCTGCTGCACCAGCCCTGCACCAACCCCACCACCTTGCACTCTGGCTGCCCACCCTATTCTCACACGTATGCCTCCTCCTCCCCCCCACCACCCAACGAAGCCCACTTCAGCGCCGTGCAAGTTTCCCCCTTCACTCCGTGCTGCCTTAGCCTGCTTGACCCCTGCATTTCCGACCACTGCCCTTTCCCCCTCGCACTCTCTCCCCCTCCCAGCACCACCACTCTCCTCCCTCCCTCGCTTGCGCCCCAAGCCAAACCCATCCCCCACCCCCTTTCCGCCCTTACCCACAGCCCCAACCCCTCCTTGTGCAGACGCCCTCTGCCCTCCCTGCGCTTTCAACCCCACAGTGCCCCTGTGAGAATTCCCAGCCTGTGCTGCTGGCAGTCTGCGGGGCAGTAGGGGCGGGCGAAGCGCGGATTGCGAGTGGCGGTGGTGCAGCGAGTGCAGCGCGCCCGGGCGGCGGATGTCCCAGATGCGGATGGCGCCGGCCGATGACCCCGAGGCCAGGTGGAAGGGCGACGAGGGCGACCAGCTCACACACGTGATGGCGCCTGGGGGGGTGAGGAGCGGGTGGGGATAACGGGAGGGTGGGGAAGAGAAGGAATGAGGGACGTGTGGGGATGAACGGAAACAGCTGGGCATTCAGCCGCCAGGTGGATGGGGGAGGCGCCGGTGGTGCAGTGAACGAAGTGAGTGCCGGTGAGTGGAGTGGGTGGTGGTGGCTGGGAAGAGAGAATGGGAAGACAATGGCGTTCAAAGCAGCGGCTGAATGACGGACATGCCATGTCACACGCTGTGACACACACTGTGTCACATGCTGCACGGTGTTGGCAGTGCGAGCATGCCATGGCACCTGAAACACGTGGCATTTCACCTGAGTCACCATGCAGCATGTGCGTGGCAGCACCCGAGGCGACGTCACACAGCCGCACGTTGCCGTCCGCACATGCCGCTGCTGCCAGCGCCGGCGCCCCCTGCACGTGCGACATGGCCACGTCTGCTACCCTCCCAGGCATGCGGAAGGACAGCAGAGACTGCACGCGCGAAGCAGCGCAGGGGGAGCGCGGGTGGTGGGGCAAGGTAAGAGAGGTTGGTAAACACGCAATGAGAGAGGAGGGAAGGGCAAGTGGGAAAGTGTGGAGGGAGGTGAGCAGTGGAGGGACGCACGACGAGAGAGGCAGGTGTGAGCGGGAGAGGCCGGAGGGCATCAGCAGTGCAGCACGGAATAGCCGTGAGCATGGCAAGGAAAGGGAATGTGGAGAGGAAGGGGCGGAATGTGGGAATGTGGGGGGGGGGAGGGGGGGGGGAAGGGGGGGGGTTTGGAGGGAGGGGCGCAGAAGCAGGGGTGGCACCTGGAGGGAGTGCGTGTCCCAGAGCTTCACGAGGCCGTCCAGGGACCCCGAGAGGAACAGCCCCGTGTCCACCGGATACCACGCCACGCCTGCCACCGCCAGCGAGTGCGCCACCGCTGCGCCCGGGGGGGTAGCAGACGCGCCGTCAGCAGTCGGAGGCGGAGCACGCGCGGCGTGCGCGGTGGAGGGCGCACGGGGGAGCGCGAAGAGCGGCGGGTGGCAGGGGTGGCCAAGGGGGTCGAGGGCGGTGGGCACGGCGGTGTCGAAGGCCGTGATGGCGCCCGACGCCGACCCCACCAGCAGATAGCGCTGGTCCGAGGCGTCCATCTGAGAGGCGCCATGGGCGGGGGGAGAGACCAGTGGAGGGGGCGATCGCGGGGACGGGAATGTCGGTGGGGACGGGAATGACAGTGGGGGGACGGAAGGGGGGGCGAGAGATGGAGAACACGAGGGTAATGAAGGGAGGAGAGGAGACAGGGAGAGGAGGGAGCATGCGAGAGAGGGGGGGTAACGAGGTGCGATCGAGGATATCAGCAAGGGCCTAACGGCGGACACGAGGGGTGAAAGGGGGAGCGGTCGGCGGATTGCATGCGCCATCCGCGCACATGCCTGCATGGCGGAAGCGGAAGAAGGGAGCGGGTAGTCGTAGCAGTCGTGCGCGGCCGCCTGCAGCGACGACCATGCGCGCACGTTCAGATACCCGGGAAGCGCGCGGGGGCAGTAAGCCGCGCGGGGCGTGGCGGAAGCGGAGGCGCTTGGGGGCACCGGGGAGCGGTCAAGCGCGCCGACGGGGAAGAAGTCGCGCAGGCGCTGACGGGAGAGAGGCGGGCGGCCAACCTCCCTGCAAGAGAGGGCGGTGAAGGCGGAAGGCTGCATGGCGGGAAGCGATCGCAAGCAGACATGGATGCGACGGGCATGGGCTGGGAATAAGGGATAGGCAGGAGGCAGCCGCCGAAGCGAGGTCAAAGGCTCAATGGGTGGAAGGAGGAAGCTTAGGTGCAGAAGTCGGCGCCTTCCCTTTTTATGGATGGACATGGATGTTTCGGGTGACAGTGTCCGCGTTATAATAAATTCTTGAACCTTAAAATGGTAAAGTCTATTTTCATGTGTGCATTTTTACTATCAAGTGCCACCGGTCAGAACTTCAAACAACGCACAATAGTGACGAATGGATGCATCAATTATATAAAAGATATACAATATTGAAGTCAATACGCAATTAATGCAATGCACAAAGCATGATGTTGACCAACATTGTAAGGAAGTTCCCTTGTGCAGCCTCCGGCCTCAACCTCCTGCCTGCTCCTCCACACCATCTACTATGTTGGAAAACTCCTCTACCCCACACCCCTCACTCACTTCCCTACCCTCCTTTCCCTTCTCACTCCCACTCTCACTGCCACTCTCATCACTGTACTGGCTGCTGCTCCCCTGCTGCCCCTCCTGCACCTGCTGGCGCCCGTAGGCCTGCGGCTTACGTCGCATGCACGCTGGCAGAGCGAGAGTCATGTTGGGATCAGGCGAGAGCGGCACGACGGGGAGCAGATCGCAGTTGCAGACCTCGATCATGTGGCCGTCGGGGTCGTGGAAAAAAAGCTGCTCCACCATAATGCCCGCCTCCTCCACGCACTGCCGTAGGTATGAGATATCACGCTCCTGCAGGCCCCGCTCCACCTCCTCGATGTCGTCGCACTGAGATGGCGCAATACCCAACAGACGATATGAAACCAAAGCGATGTTTGAGGCTAGCATAGGGTCAGAAAACGAGCTCCGTTAATAAAAAGCAACGGATACGCGACAGCAAGACACGGAACACTGAGTATTCTTACCTGGAAGGAGAAGTGGTCCGATTTGGGGTTGATCTCCTCTGGAACTCGCAATTGCGGTGCTAGCGGGTCGTCACTCTGCCCCAGCAGATGAATTCCAATCCCATGATTAAACAACCTGACGTGCGCAAAGGGGATGTACGTCACTTCAACAAGTCGAGGAACAAAGCGCAACAATCAAGATTATTCACTACAACAGAAAAAATCACCAAAACTAGTGCACGGTTTACGCATCCCTCTTCGTTGCCTGGTACGAACTATCTTTTTGGCATGCGATTAGCGCTGAGGCCCGGCGATGCGGCTTACCAAGCGCCGTCGAAGTTGAGGCAGTCAGGGCGGCGCACGGGCACGAAACCCATGACGTCGCAGTAGAAGTTGACGGACTGCTCCACATTTCTGCAGTGAATCGATACGTGGTTCAGCGACGTCAGCGGCAACGGACTCCTCCCGACCGTTGCCTCTCTTGGAGCACTTGATGCCTTGGACGCATGCTGTTCTCTGCAACCTTCGTGAATTCCGGGCGTGATATTAGCAGCAGGCATGCTGACAGATGTAGTGTCGAGAAGGGTAACTGAAGAGAATAGGTCCACGGCAAGAAACGCGCAACAGAGGTATCGTGCGTGCACTAAAAACTGCAGATGCGTTTCAAAATCTCAGGAAAGAAAATGAGGAATGAGCCGGTAGCCGAGCACATAACACATGCGACGCCTAGAGAAGTTTTAACTTCTGCAGAGAAAAGACGTCCCTGTGACACATAAGCCTCCCTTGTGACAGGTTTCCAAATACAACCAGTCGAGAGGCTTGGAGGTCAATGGTAAACTGATTCCGGGTGTTGGAAGAGCTAACTCGGCTTTGAATGAGAGCAGAATTTGAAGCAGGACTTGGTGAACTGAACTGCGTATGCTCATGTGCCTTCAGCAGCACAGCTCTGCCCGCCAGCAGAAAAGGTTTCGACAGGCAGCCGCGCATGTGCGCTGGGAGGGGTAGGGTTCCATTCCATTGGGCCTGGAATGGGAAGTCGGGCGAGGGATTAGGGGATGGTGTCATGGAACGGGCAGACCAGGCCCCTTTCAATAGGGAAAAATCTAGCAGGTCAGCGGAACAGAGGCTTTCTCATTGGTGCTGAAGTGAACGAGAAGCCACTGGGCAGGGATGACAAGCCCCAAAAGTTTGTTCAGCCGTGCCCTAGCATATATTCGCTGGGCAAATCCGAGTCGCTCATCGAAAGCTCCCATAGCATTCCGAATGGAGTCGCTAAAGATCCACACAACCATCCTCCAAAATCCACGTGGCAGATCCCTGCTCGCTGTAGGAATCGAACGGCAGTTCGAATGCGTGAGGTGGTTACAGCCTATCGGATTTCAGTGCAGAAACATCAAAACAGAGAATAGCCGTCGATTACAGCAAAGCCATGAGTCAGCCAGCACCCAATTGGCTGCTTGGGTGGACAGTCATCACGTGACATGGGGCCTCAACAGTGTAAGGAGAAAAACCCCTTACAAGAGAAAGTGTCTCTCAAGGCGTTTTGATTTGATAACTTGATTATGATTTTACGCGTGGAATGGGAGCATAAGGTTGTGCACAGTAGAGCATTTGTTCCTTGGCGCATCTTTCACTTTTCTTGTCGTTGCAAGAACGGCTAGGATTATTTTTTTCAAACAATTATGATGAAGACCCCGATTGTTCTGTATGCAATAATTATTATCCGATTTGTTTTGCCAGCTGAGTGAATATATCGAATATTGTATCGGAAATGTTATGATGGAATAAGCTCACTCATTCTGTAACTAGGGCTCGCCACAGAGAGTACACGCGAACAGTTCGCGTGAGCAGGCTTGGCCCTCAAGTCACGCGCCAAACCAGCCCCCGTCGACCTCACTGGCCCCAACCTTTTCCCGAGTCGCCCCGAACCCATTTTGACCCCGTCACCCTCGGGACTAACGAGCCCTTGACTGGTCCAACCCTCGGCATTCAACCTTGGTCAATCACCCTATATATTGCCTAGGCCTCATTGCTATCGAACACTCTGGAATCACGTTCCCCTATAGTATTCTGAGCTATACTCTGAGTTATAATTCATAACAGCTGATATCAAAGCTACGTTCCTACCCATTAGGTTTCCGATTGGAGAGCAGACTCTATCGGAGAAGGGGGAGGAAGGATGCTGATGGCGAGCGGACGTCACAGAGATTGATTGCGCGGGCGTTGCCGATGCCGTCAGATCCTATATGATGGACGGCTGGGATAAGCCGGTCCTCCCCTTCCCCTGGCATAGACGAAATTATTTTCCGTCGAAGAGATGGCGACATTTTCGAAGGTTTTTCGAGTACGTTCGTTATAGCTTTCGTGATTTTCATGTGTTTTGACGAAGTCCTCGGATTGGCTTCCGAAAAAAGCTGACTTCGTCACGCGGAGGCAAGTGCACAGGAGTACTCAGGCGACCGGGAGTTGGCTGTCAGGAGTGCGCGGGGTAGCGAAATTGGCGGGACGTACGGCGATGTACGTCTGGCACGCTATGCAGTGGGTAAACTGTAGCTGTATCGCGGGTCCCGACGTTTCCGGCAAGCTAGTTGCAGACAATGGACAGGACTTCAACACTGTTTCGGCAATGGGCGGATCCGGCAATCTCGGAACGACACGATCGCTCAAGGATGTGTGGGTGTGCAGTTGTGTGGGGGCAGCTAGGATTAACGACCTTGGCGCTATTCACCACGACAGCCATCTGGAGGTGATAACGATGTGCTGGAGTGAGTGTACTCAGCAATGGTGACTTCCCGCATGGGGAGGCGTTTTTCGTGGACCAGCGGAAACGGAGGCCACCACCACTGGGTGTGTATTAAGTGTTTTTCCACCGGTCGTCGAAAGCGTTAACTACCAGGAGTTGAAGTAGTGGGAGAAGAACGACGGGATTACTGGAGCAGTTAAGGGTTAGCGGCGTTCGGGCTGCTGCTCGCTCAGCTACGTCGCCCGGAAATCACCATCCTTACCAGATAGCAGTGTCGACTTATTAATCGACGACTTCTGGCTGAATAAGGGGGGTGAACCTGCGAACTACACTGTGCTGATGGAGTGTCCCCGAAATTTTGTGAGTTACTGTTGCAGCGGAGCTGAGGGTTTCACCTAGTGCAGCAGAAAGAGGTTCCGACTTTTGCGGGTGTAGTTTAACGTGTTTCCGATGGAGGAGGGAGCTGTCCAGCAGTCAGCAAGCAAGCTCGTTAAAGTTCCTCTGACTAGAAGTGTGCGCACTCCTATCTCTGCGGATTCTCTTAGTTAGTTAAGCAGCAGCGAAGCAGATTTAGGGTAACCTGGAGCAGCCGCGAGATGGGCGAACGTCTGCACGGCCAGCTGGACAGTGGTACCGGAGAATTTATGGAGCTGGGTAATAGCTGGGAGATGATCGACGGCGTATGATGTGCGTTGACCCTAATTGACGGCCAAAGCATTATGCCGAGGCGGTGCACTCCGGTGTTCTCTAATATAAAGGGTTCAGTTCATGCGTACAGCTAGTGGAGAAACTCTGGGGACGCTGCTAAAGGATGCCGTAATGCCTGAGTGTTTTGACGGGTAGCCGTAAAGCGGAGTTGCGGTATTTTCGAAGTACCGCGGAATTCCGACATTTTCGGTGGTTTTGAGGAGAAATAAAAGGGTTTGCAGCTGGAGTTGTACCCGCTATCTTCAGGGGTATGAGTGACATCGACCGATATTCTCAGAATATTTTGGGTGCATGGAGGAGGAGAGGGGCAGCAACAGTTTCGGCTCTTCCCCAATATTTCGGCGTGTACGGACAAAGAAGCTGATGCAGCTGGCGTTATTCGACCCCGTGTTCCGTTCGGGGTTTTTCAATGGAGCAGGATTCGTATCGGTTACTTTCCATCGTGAGCCTCTCGCCACCACCCACTACTGCCTGCACCATAAATTTGTATGATTTGCACGACTATGTGAATTCGACCCCGCCTCGCCAACTGAATCGACAGGAGCAGTATCAAAGCGGAAGATTTTGCAGCCGTTCTATTGGAGCTGTGTTGAGACCAGCTCGCAAGTAGTGTTCCTACTCGTGCAAAAATTTAAGTTCGTATGGGAGTCTTCAGGAGCAGTTACTTCTGAGTTTCAAGCTCTTTGGAGCGGTTTACCCTGTAGAGGAATTTCACATTTGGAGCATATTTGTGATTTCTCGCGCTTGGAGTTTTGCAGCGGCGTCCTCGAAGCTAAGTTATGGGACTTTTAAGTAGCAGATAAGTATCTAGCGTACCGTGGAGCGTTGGGTTTCTTGGAGTTTTACCCGAGCTCCTGGGAGCTGTTTCTTTTTGGAGGGGGGGGGGGAGTGTAGCTGTGCTGCAATTTTCCGTCCGACCCTTCGTTTTGTTCCATGATCCATCGTCGAGCATCATTCGTCACCGTTACGCTTCCGCGCCTTATTTTGTCACTTCGTTGATGGAGTTAGCTGACTTTCGTGGGACACGGACGCGTGCTCTCGCATGTGACACGAATGACCTCGTGCTTGATGAGCGGGTTCTTCATTTCATCGACCATCACGTTATTCGTCTGTCATCATTTCAATATATCTATCTTTCACGCGCCATCATCAATCGACCACTCGAGAATTTTCATTGTTCATAGTCTTCCGCTATAGTATTTACCCTTGCCCGTTCAGTCAACCAAATAATTCGATCATCTTCGACGGCCACGATTAAAAGCGATCGTTTCGACGCTTTCTGACCATCGATTTCAGTTCAACCTGAAGACCTTGTCAGGCCGGCGTAATCATTACGCTCGTCACAGGGCTGAAGACTTACAGTCACATCGGGGATTAATTTAATGATTGTTCGGCCTCGATAAAGGGAGTGCCTTCCTTTAGAAGGTGGGAGAGTGTAAGGAATTACCATTCCTTACTGGGGCTCGCCACAATGAGTACACGCGAACAGTTCGCATGTGCAGGCCCGGTCCTCAAGTCACGCGCCAAACCATGCCCCCGTCAACCCCGCCGGCCCCAACCTCATCCAGAGTTGCCCCGAACCCATTTTGACCCTGTCACCCTCGGAACAATCGAGCCCTTGACTGGTCCAACCCTCGACATTAAACCCTGGTCAATCTCCCTAGATATTGCCTAGGCCTCATTTATATCGAACACTCTGGAATCACGTTCCCCTATAGTATTCTGTGTCAACTTATACATACATTTGCATGTAGAAGTCATCGGCTAGAATAGGTGTGTGTTCTTCGAGAGCACAAACCAAACCCTATATCTCCCTTGTTCCCTCTTGATTCTAATCATTGCGCTATTCTAACATGGTATCATGCTAGGTTAGGTCCCCCTCCCCGCCTACGCTTCCGCCCCTGGCCATAGCCCTGGCCTTAGACCACGCCCTAGCCCGCGCCCCGTCATGCCGCGCTGGCCCCATCACGCCACGCTGGCCCCGTCCCGCCGCGCCGGCCCCGCTAGACCGAGCCGGCCCCGTCAAGCCGCGCCGGTGCGGTCACGTCGCGCCGGTCCGTCACTCTGCCCCGGCCCCATCTCACCGCGATGGCCCCGATAGAACGCCCCGACCCCGTCACGCCGCGCCGGCCCCGTCACGTTGCGACGGCCCCGTCACGCTGTGCCGCCCCGTCCTGCCGAACCGGCCTCGCTACTCGGCGCCCGACCCGTCACGTCGCGCCGACCCCGTCCCACCACGCTGGCCCCGCCACACCCTGCCGCCCGGTCCCGCCGCGCCGGCCCCGCTACTCCGCGCCGGCATCGTCAAGCCGCGCCGGCCCCATCCTGCCGCGCCGGCCCCGTCAAGCCGTGCCGGCCCCGTCTGGCCCCGCCGACCCCGTTCCGTCGTGCCGGCCCCGCTCGACTGC